TGGTTTTTTTACCTTCGAGGTCGACATTTATTTCGGTCTGAATTATCCAACGGCAAAACTCTGCAACGCAATATTTACCATAAAAAATCCACTCTCTCTGGGAGTTTTTTAAGTTACAGCCGACACACGGCGCGTTAATATCTATCTCCAAACATAAAGGACACACGCGATGAGCAATGCATAATATAGGAACGTGTATATTATCTTCATCCAAAATAGTCTCAAAGTCATAAAAAACAAAATATTTGATAATCTCACCTTCAACCTCCTCTGATAACCGTTTCATATAGCATCTATGATTAGGCTTGCACAGTTGCATACAATTACGACATTTGTGCACGTCACAGGTGTGCTTATTAATCGCATCCTCTTCGTGGGTGTCTATTGTTGTATAACACTTTAAGCACGCCCTATATTTCATACACGTCGACACTGTGTATAAAGGAACATTTTGGTTATGTCTCTCCAAACACTTTTTGCCTCTAAAATAACGGTGACAAAGTTCACACTGTATTCGCGGCCTATCCAGAGGACAGGCTACTAACTGCTTGCAGCTTCGACATATCGCTTTACACACATGGTTATTCTTATTAGAATATGGTTTTTCACACCCTGAACAATAGTATGAACGATTAAATAAGCTGTTGATTTTCTTTATATAGTAGAAATGTTTTTCCATTAAATACAACCTTAAAACGGGGACATTGGGGTCCGCGGCACCCCTGAATATGATACAGTTGGCCGCCTGTCCATCATAGATGAGAATTTGATATTCAGCTTTTAAGTGCTCTTGAAATATACACCATTCAGGTCGACCTGCTACTAAGGGGTTAACATTGAATTCTTGATACATTTCCATAGCCATAGCAATCTGCAGTGGCCTTTTCGCGTAGGTGGCAGCTACACGTTTGTAATGTTTAGTTTCTTCGGCTGTTGGGGAAATTTTCTTATGATAAGAAATTTCGTTCATACCCAGGACTATAGATTGACCAAAACAAGTTTGATAACCAGCGTTGGCTACGGGGGATATAAATGTCCGTTTTTTTCCACTCATAAAGGCCTCGTTCAAAAGTGCCTTATTTGCTGAAAAACCCCCTTCTTTAGATGCAACGTAGGTAACGGTTATAGAGGTTTGATCGTCTATAACGAAGGTTTTTTTTGACTGCATAACTTTCGCAATTTCATCAAAATTAATTCCAAAGTTAGTTCACTGTAAGGCCTAAACGCAATATATATTGGATTGTCCAAATCAGGGTGATTTAATTGTATTCTTACCCTCTCGTTTGGTTGTACATTGAAATTTTCTCTAACGGTCGCTAATATCTGAGTGAATAGTCGCTCTAGCCAATCGGGGGTAGTAGGGTCATCCGTGTTTATAATTTCCAGACGTAGCAATTCGGAATGTATGTTAAATTTCCTTGAAAACCGTTGTTCCACCGAAATCAGCCTTACTAAATCTTCGCCGCCACGTCCCTCTTGACAAATCTTTAAAAAAAACAACAAAAAAACAAAAAACGGGAGTTGGTTATTTTAAAAAAAAAAACACCCGGTGGGGTTAACAAATCAAGAATATCGACTACCTCCCCATCTTTTTCTTCACACGCCTTAGCAACTAAAGATTTGAACTTAGAAGGGGTTGCTATGTCACTCGTTAATAGAGCAATTAAGGGATCGTGCTGTTCGCTTTCTGTAGACGAATTAGGTTCCCCATTATTTTGAGTATCGTGTAAAGTTTTTTTGCTCACCTGTGCCATGTCAATGTCACTATCGTCATCCGAAAATAATACCGGACTATATAGTTGTCGATGACCCCTTTCGCACCTTTCTTCCTCCGTGTCGTCATCTGTGTCGGCGTCAGACCGTTGATGTTTAGTACCCGCGCTTTCATTATGATTACTTGTTTGATTTTCAATCTCGGCCCTGTCTAAAGTTTCGCTAATTGCCAGGACTTGACTCGGTGTCCAAAATTCAAATTCATCTGTAAGCCCTATTATTTCATGCCATTCAGCGTCTGTGTTGTTTTCAAACGTGTCCATCTTAAAAGAAAATATATAATTTTGTTTTTTAATTACTAATCGTGGCGGCGCCGGTTAGTATTATTATTAAACATACATTATGCAAGAACATTATGTTAACATGATCCCGAATTGTATATATTAATGTTAAAAACAATTTAAAATTACCCCCCCCCCCCCACGGTTGCGGTGTTGTTTATTTTTTCATAAAATTGAAAAATAAAAAAAAATAAAAAATTAAAAAAAAATAATTAAAAAAAAATTAATAAAAAAGATTAAAAAAAAAAAAAAAAAATAATAATAAAAAATAATAATTTAAAAAAAAAAAATGGAGCTTATGTATTAAAGGGGAGATAATGTTAGCAAAAGCCCCGGGTTGAAAACGTATAAAAAGGGGGATAACTCTCTCTTTTTTCTATTTCCGGGAGAAATAAAATTAGCAAACGTCCCGGATTGAAAACGTATAAAAGGGGGATAACTCTCTTTTTTCAAAGATTTCAAGCGCGAGTCTATTTCCGGGGATAAATAAAGTTAGCAAAAGCCCCGGATTGAAAACGTATAAAAGGGGGGGGGGGATAACTCTCTTTTTAAAAACTTTTTTCAAAGATTTCAAGCGCGAGTCTATTTCCGGGGATAAATAAAGTTAGCAAAAGCCCCGGATTGAAAACGTATAAAAAGGGGGGGATAACTCTCTCTTTTTTCTATTTCCGGGAGAAATAAAGTTAGCAAGCGTCCCGGATTGATAACGTATAAAAGGGGGATAACTCTTTTTTTCAAAGATTTCAAGCGCGAGTCTATTTCCGGGGATAAATAAAGTTAGCAAAATCGCCGGATTGAAAACGTATAAAAGGGGGGATAACTCTCTTTTTAAAAAAAAATTTCAAAGATTTCAAACGCGAGTCTATTTCCGGGGATAAATAAAGTTAGCAAAAGTCCCGGATTGAAAACGTATAAAAAGGGGGGATAACTCTCTCTTTTTTCTATTTCCGGGAGAAATAAAGTTAGCAAACGTCCCGGATTTAAAACGTATAAAAGGGGGGATAACTCTCTTTTTTCAAAGATTTCAAGCGCGAGTCTATTTTCGGGGATAAATAAAGTTAGCAAAAGCCCCGGATTGAAAACGTATAAAAGGGGGGATAACTCTCTTTTTAAAAAAATTTTTCAAAGATTTCAAGCGCGAGTCTTTTTTCGGGGAGAAATAAAGTTAGCAAAAGCCCCGGATTGTACCACATTGTATTGGATTATGCTAAAAAAAATATAGTTTCAGGGTCTAACCATATGTAACAGAGTCGTTTAATTATTATGACCGGAATAATTCTAAATGGACAGATACATGTATTACGGTATAGACATGCCCCATATTTATAACACATACCTATTTTGAAATAAATTATAATCTAATGGAGACAACTCGGTTAACAAAAAAAAATAATATATTTCAGAAAAAATACTATTACCTCAAAAAGAGATTAATAAAATTTATAATAATTTTCCCACCCTAGCATCTTGGTTTTGTTTATGATACGGTTAAGAGAACGAATAATATATCCAATGACCTGATTATTATTCCCCAAATGTTTTCATAACATCTAGACTAATATTTTTGGAATATTTTTTGGCATGATATTGAAAAAAAAATCTTACATAATGTATCTTTAAAGAATAGGCTTACCATAATTTTTTCCGAATGTGTCCTATAATGACGGCGTGTATACTCAAAGACAAAGTCTCATGAGTTGGGTGTTGTTTCCTCTTCAAAGTCCACGGACCCCAATGACGTTAAAATGACTGTCGCAATTTTGGTCAACAAACCATGAGCGCCTTCCATGATTGGTTAGTATGGGTCACGTGGTTGTTTAGCGCCAACTTCTGACCAGTGTCTTTGTCTCGTAAAGGGTCGTTAATCCTTTAGTTCCAGTCGACAGAGTAACTACAATGACTGACGGTAAACCCCACGACTGAAAGGTGGTATAATTATGGGGACGCGTAGTGGTGTCACGCTGTCCTTAAGGTAATCACCTCAAATAGTGCTGGTTGACTGATTTAACATAGTACTCTTTATAAACACGACGTCCGTTTATAACCTATGTCGCGACAGTCCGAGCAATCGTTTTTCTAAACCTTTTTAAAATAGCTGAGACCCAACGCCATTTTTTTTTTTAAAGCCCCAAATTACATCGTTTGTTCAGTTTTAATGTATTTCATTTTTAAAAAGAAAATTTTAAAAACAGTTCTCGAACCCGCAATTTGCAGTTGGTCATAAAATTATGCTATACCCTTTAAAAACAGCCGTACTTATGAAAATTGTCACTTCGACTTGTGGCTGAAAAGAATACGACACCAAAACAGAAAGACTTGACGAAAACACCTGAAGTCTATACAAAAAAGACAAATAATTTAAAATGTAAGTTACTTTTTTTTTCTTTTTCTTTCAAAATTATGATTCAAAACCTACTTTAAAAAAAAAATAATCTGTTATCGTTATTTCTATTTTATGTTACGGGGTACGGGTACGGGTCTAGACTGAAAGCATGTGGGTGGGTGTGGGGGTTGGGGAGATGAGGGGTGGGGGGGCCTTAGACCCTACATAATTTGAAGCTTTTAAAGAGGTATAACATTGTATGAGTACGGTATGATTTGACGATATATTCGGTCTAAAAAACATTTTCAAACTATTTAATTTATCATAATTTGGCTATAATGTATCTTGTATGGATTAACAGCGATACGTGCAACTGTCGATGGATACCGTTGATGAATTCGTTACATAAACAAGATTTTAACAGTGATGTGGGCCGAACCCTTGGCAAGACAGTTGCCTAGTCGTCCGGATAGGCCGAAAACAATGCAGAACCCCACGTGCACATAGTCATGTACGCGTAAAAGATCGATATAAGCGTTAACCCTTGACACCACACCCTGTGGCCTAAATATTTTACGGTGAAAATATCTTTAATATTATATTTTTTTGTGTCTTTTTTTAAGGTATGCAATTGCTGATGTTCGGAATTTTATACTGTGCACCATTAGCCTGATTACGGCGACATTGGCACCATATACCCATTCCTTAGGCACGCCTGATGTTGTAATACAGTTACGGGGTATTTTGACGGACGCGGACGCTTTGTTGTCTACCCACAACCCGTTCATCCCTACTAGACCAGCCACGCCTAGCCAGGAAAAAGAAACGTAAGTTTTTTAACTACTTGTATGGCGCCACCGTTGCAATGAGGGGCTTGTCTGTATCGGGTTGTTTTGAACGACACCCATATAGCCTATGGCATTAATTTAGGTATAGGAAACAAACAGCGAGGCAGTTAAACGTCTCACTTCATTTCACCTCCCGCCATTTGAAGATGCTTGCGTGTATACCCTCCGCCCCCACGCACACCTCGCCGTCAATACCTAAATGAAATGTAATAGGGGGAGGGGGGGGGTTAAAATCCTACTGTTCTACTCCTAACGTGTGCTTAGGAAGGACCGGGCATAAGCCAGACCGTGTGCTATGAGTTAAATTTTGTCCGGGTAGCACGACTACGGCCTACTCTTATATCCTTTTCCGACGGCCAAGGGATCTTTTACCTGCACGACAATGGGTACACACGGCACCTCAGTTTTTCGTCCCATCCGAACGACTAGACGGCCGTCCTTGTCAGGACCTCCGACCTGAATCACAGCCAATGGGGAAACCCCTCCAGAAATCGGGGTGACCTTTCTCAGCCAATGCAGGGATCGAACACCCGACCTCTAGGCTAGCGAACCCGAGACTGTAATCAATGCTATTCTTATAATATTAATATTGCTTTATTTACCTGATACCTATTTGTTTTGTTCTTTTCTGCAGATTGTTAGCATACACGGACTATATATTGGCACGTTTGAGGTTGGTGGCAGACACAAATCCGGGGTTTAAAAAGCCAATGGATATTTTAGAAACTTACAGGGAATTGGCCGATTGGAACTTACCGTCGCTTTAAAATGTAAATAAAAAATAAAAAAAAATATTGAAAAAAAAAACCCCAACATTGTTAGCTTCTTAGCCTTGTCACTAATTGAAAAATATAGAGGAATGAAATGGTGGGGGGGGGGAGAGGGGACGTTGGGGTGAAGGAGGAGGGGGGTAACCAATTGAAGAATATAGAGGAATGAAATGGTGGGGGGGAGGGGGGCATTGGGGTGAAGGGGTATGTGGGAGGGGGGGGGGCAACTGAGTGGAAGGGGGGGGGGGGGTAACCAACCCCGGATAAACAATCGCAATCCAATCAATGGTCAATCTTAACGTTAGCCCTTAACGACCTGACCTCAGCACGAACCCCTACGCGGCTGTCTATAAAGGGGCAACCCCACCCCACTCACCCCCAATAATCAATGCGTGACCTCCAGCTAACCTCGTAACAGAAGTCAAATGAGGTCAAAGGATAAACAAGAGTTCATTATAACAATACCTATTCATCTATATTCATATCCCCATTGTTCGGATAACAATACCCTATTCAATCTATTGAATAGAACAAAGGCGTCAACTCTCCTTGGTAAAAATATGGCTAAAAGGCCACAGATACTACTCATGCCTTTGCACCTGGAGAAGGTAATGTACCAGTAAGTATATTTATGGATGAATTTGCGGAAGAACTTGCATTTCCCAATATATTTATGGGTAAAGGCTGGATGAGAGCTTCAGAAAGAAAAACAAAGGTATACTATAGTGAAATATGTAAGTCGGAGTTAAGGAGAAGTGATAGAAGAGCTGCTAATGATGTTGATAATATATTTTTCAAATTGAAAAAGTATCAAATGAAAAGTGTTCTTGGGAAAGTCCAGCTTGCATTAAGGAAGAAGACTGGTGGTGAAATGGTGACTGCTGGGGATCTATGTAAAGTCAAGAATGTTGATTGCTTTAAGAAAGCACAGAGTGATTTGTTTGCTATGATAAGGCTATTGGGACAAGCAAATTTTTTATGTAGCTTTTCTGCTGCAGAATCAAAATGGAAACATTTGTTAAAAATGCTTGATAAAGTGCAAGATGGGAGAATTTATAGTGACGAAGAACTTGAGGAAATAGACTGGGAAACTAAGTGTCGGTTGATTTCATGTGATCCAGTAACTTGTGCAAGACAGTTTGATCATCAGGTACATCAATTGTTTAAAGAACTGTTGCTAAAAGAAAATTAACCTATTGGAAAAGTGACAGACTATTTTTATAGAGTGGAGTTTCAGCACAGAGGTTCACCATATATTCATTAATTCATTGCTATGGGTGGATAATGCGCCGGTATATGGGGAGAGTAGCAATGAGGATGTTATAAAGTTCATATATTCTAAGATGACATGTAAGAAAAATGTACCAGTGCCATTCACACTCGCATACCTGTAGAACGAAAGTAAAGAATGTGTGCCGTTTTGGTTTCCCAAAGCCACCAATGAAGCATACAGAGATACTGGAACCCCTGGAAAAGACAATGGAAGAGAAGGAAAAGAAAAAGCACAAAGAGAATTATAGGAAGTTAAATGAGATGATGGAAAGTATGAAACAAGGTGAAGATATAACGTTTGATGAGTTTTTAGAGAAAAGTTCATTGAGTTATGAAAACTACGTATTGGCTCTTCGGTCGTCTTTAAAGGATGATACTGTATTATTGAAAAGAGAACCAAATGCATTGCGTTTAAATGCCTTCAACAATGATTTGCTAAAAGCTTGGAAGGCTAACATTGACGTTCAGTTTGTTTTGAGTGTATATGGATGTGCAATGTATATAGCATCATATATAATGAAATCCCAGAGAGGCATAAGTGATTTATTACGTAAAGCATGCCAAGATGTAAGACAAGGCAATGTGACTGCTAGTGAGCAAGTAAAAGAAATAGGAAACATATTTTTAAATAATGTGGAGATAGTGCCCAGGAAGCAACATATACTGAGCGCCATGGAAAACGCATCACTTAGTTTTTCGTATAACAAAATGATCCTGTAAACATATCTTATTTATTTCGCTTCTTATTGTGAACAATATTCAAATGGGAACACATCAATAACAACACATTTGTACACTTATGGATGTTTAATCTGTAATCAACGGTACAAAGTCAGAGGGATCAAAACTAAAAGTACGACACAGATGTCAGTAGCGCGTGTGTCCTCCACGGGCTCTTACGCACGCTGTGCAGCGACGTCGCATGGAATTTACCAATGTTTGAAAGAAGGCCTGGGGCAAATTGTTTCATTCTTGGACAAGAGCAGCTTCTAAAGCAGCAATGGTGTGCATCAGTGGTCTCCGATACAGACGGCGTCCAATCTCATCCCAGACATGTTCTATCGGTGCCATGTCCGGAGACATGGCTGGCCAGTCCAAGACATTGATGTTGTTAGCAGCCAGGTAGTCCATACTAAAACGGTCGTTATGCGGACGTGCATTATCTTGTTGGAAGTGCTGAAGTTGTGGGTGCGCTCGAAACATCGGAATAACAATTGTTTGCAAGACATTATCACGGTAGGCTACTTCTCTTAGACGACGTCTTACGGTGTTGGCACTTACTGGTCCTTGTCTTCCGACTACTGCTGCACCTGTTCGAGTCGCTGGGCGGAATCTGTCACGCAGATGAGTGACCCGGATGTAGCGGTCTTGAGTCTGGGTTGTAACGCGTTGTGGACCAGGACGTTGACGGTCACGTGTTGATCCAGTAAATCGAACACGTTCCACCAACCTTACAATAGTGGACTGATGACAATTGAAGTGTCTGGCAATAGCACGTGTAGACATGCCAGCCCTGGACATTCCCATGGCTTTATTCCGTTGATTTTCAGTAAGTCTCGGCATCTCTAGCTCGATTCCTTCACACGTCCAACAACAAATTACGACAGATTGACGTTTTACAGTTCATGTACTGCACATTAAGTTGAAAACATGCTTTTAAAGGCTCACACACAATGCTGCACGTGAATATTGGAGTTTTCATGTGCATCTCGTGCAATTTTCTTTTGCACACGGGCCAATATTTTTTGCTTTTGGGAGCATTGTGTGAAACAATAGTTCATAGTATTGCATAATATTATACATACAAAACCACCTAGTAATAAAATATTTGGGGAAAAAAAATGTGTTGCGTTTTCCGTGGCGCTCAGTATATATCCTCTTGCAGTTACCTATGCGAATGTCATCAAGGGAAGTTGTATTCATCAATACCTCACCTCCAGATGAAAGAGTGGTGCTGATAAAAAGTAAGGAAGAACTGGAGAAAATGGAATCAGACGATGGAGATGTTCAGTCGAGTAATATTATTGAACGGTGTAAGAACAGGCCTCAATCGTTAAGTAAGTTGACGTTAGCAGATTTCGTATCGAGATATGATCAGAAAAAAAGATATTCAAAGAGATCAAAAACTGAAAAGGATGGCACACTGAAGGAAAATGCAGAAGAGCATAATTCAGATGATGAAGGCATGGAATCCGAAAAAAATAGGCAGAGAGCAAGAGTTATTAGGTATGAACATTTTAATGTAGATAAAGATCCAGAAAAACACTATAGAGAGTTGTTAATGTTATTTACATGTTGGAGAAATGAAGAAGTAGACTTGTTGCATGAATGTGAAAGTTATATTGAGAGCTATCAGTTAAATAAGAATGACATTGAAGAACAAAGGAAACAGTTTGAGGGTACAAGAACTGAAGTTGATGCTGCCATGGAGGCAGGCTTTAATGACTATGAAGAAATTTGGGATAATCAAGCACCCATAACACAACAAGTAGATAAAAAAAGATGAAATCGAGGAGCAAACGGAGAAAGAGCATGCTAAAGAAAACGGGGGAGATATTCAGTGTGAATATGATATGAGCAGAGATTTAGGGATTCCTAAAATGGAAAAAAGCGATGAAGTAACATAGTATGAAATGCCAGATGAAGATTATAGAAAGTTAATGCGATGTCTGAATGAAAAACAACAATTGTTTGTATTTGACACTCTACATGTACTAAAGACTACTGAAAGACAAGTGTTCAGATTTTTGTCAGGTGGTGCAGGAGTAGGAAAAAGCTTGGTTACAACAGCTTTGTATCAGAGCTTGTTGGGGTATTATAAAAGTAAGGCAGGAGATGATTACCAAACAACACGGTTGTTGCTTGTTGCTCCTACCGACAAGGCCGCGTACAATATAAAGGAGAACACCGTACATACATCGTTGAGAGTACCTGCATGTCAATCATTTGTGTACGGAGCAATGAACTGTAGTAGCATGAATACATTAAGGACAGAGCTAGGAGGCTTGAAAGTAATATTTATTGATGAAATATCAATGGTTGGAAATGGAATGATGAACTTTATCGAACAACGTCTACAAGATGTATTATTTGGTGTGTCAGTGTTATTGCTGTTGGTGATATATTTCAGTTGATACCAGTATTTGATGGGTATGTATTTCAGAATCATAAACATGGATATGGTCCACTTGCAAGTAATATTTGGCAGGATAATTTTGAGCTTTTTGAGCTAACTGAAATAATGAGACAGAAAGATAGCAGAGTGTTTTCAGAGTTATTAAATAGACTCAGGGAGTGCACTGATAAAAGTGACAAAGAGAAGAAAAGTGATCTTAATCTCTTGAAGACCAGAATGCTCTAAAGAAATACAATCAATTATCCGTACCAACTACAGCATTTGTTTGTGAGTAATCAGAAAGTAGAAGTGTTTAACATTGAGGTATTTAATAAGATAGATAGTAAAAAATTTGTTATCAAAGCTAAAGATAGCATTGTTGGAACTGCAGCTCAAACGGTGAAAGAAAGAGTAATGAGTAATATTCCTGATGATCTGAAAAAGACTATGCAGTTAAGCACTAACCTAAACATAGCAGTTGGACTAAAATGTGAAATGTGTATAAATGTAAGAATAGATGATGGTATGACTAATGGAGCTAGTTGTGTATAGTAAAGCATATTGAAACATCAAGTCAAAATTCAGCAGTTGGAAGTGTTATTTGGGTAGAGTT